CTTCTGCTGAATTTATGGTTTTCAACATGAATCTACAGAGAATAAAGGCTGTCCATGCTTCAAAGTGCAAGGCCTCATTTTCTTCTGCACATGTGCAACTGCTCTGCACATGTACAACTGCTCTGCACTTAAAGGTTTATATAATTTACTTTCTAACTTCCCTGTATTCTTTCCTTTCTAATTATATCCCTCCCAGAGAAACTTTGTTTCAATTTTCTTTCAATACACAGCTTTCATTTAAAAAGTGGTGCTAAAAGAAGCAGCAAGAAAGAGATGAAGTTAGATAAGAAGAAGAGTATTTTAGAGACTTCATTAGAATTGAGCTACTCCAGGAAAAGCTTTGTCGTCTTTCTAGAAAAATGTGTTCATACTTGTCAGGTACATCTAAGGAACTTTTAGAGGTCACAATACACTTAACAGCGCTGAGGTTCTACTTTATAGCCATACTATACCAAGGATGGAGCCAATGCACAAAATGTTCTTGATGCCCTAGAGGAGCATGATAAGGAAGAAATACAAGAGTCTTTCCATGTAAGATCTGACTAGCCTACAAAAACATAGGTTGAAATGTCATAATCAGGGTAAGAAATCCTGTTAAGGATTTTAATTAACCAGAGATGCCTGCCTTGAAAAGATCAGATTTTTGTGCTAGTTCCAAGGGGACTGTTTGCACTTAACAGAATTGCTGACACCTAGAATCCATGTGTAGGTAATGCTTGCTTCTAATAATGACACAACTTTATCCATTGATGTGACAAAGATACATGGAGAATACTACATGCTGAAATATGCACTTGTATTTTACCTGGGTGTTTTTTTAATAGAAAAGCTGACTTGTCCACTGCATATTGAAATTCTTTTTCTTCTCTGCTGGTATTTCAACTTGGAAATGCACATAGAAAACAGAATTCAAGATCAGAGAAACCAATACTTACTATCCTTTGTACTAAAAGTTTTACTGATTACTGCCTAAACAAGAAACCCCCTCTGTCTGTATTACCTCAACCTTTTGGCAGAAAATTGCCGCAGTGTACTCCAGGGTATAAAACAGCCAGTCACACTGCTCCTGGATCAGTTCAGGTTTGTGCCTGCACCCTTCTAATTGCTCCTTTGCCACTGAACTGTCAAGGTGTCCTCAGACAGAAATGAGAACGGTGCTAGAAAGCTTACCATACAGGCTGTATGGGACAGTAGTGATGACCATTTAAAATCTTCACTGCAGAAGCAGTTTAAACCACTAAACAATTTTGCTTGCCTTTTTTTTTTAATATCCTTATATTTCTATGGTTCTTCACTGCCTACTTGATACTTATTTCAACAGAGCTTTTCAGACAAATTACTGTTCAAGTACAGGCTTTAGGTAACTCTCAAAAAGTCACATCTTTACTATACTTAGCCTAAAGGCTTGTCAGAAGTCACTCCCACAAACAAATACACCAAGATGATGCATTTTGAGGTAGTTTGTTTACTCAGAACCAACTACCATACCAGTGAGACAAGACACACACAGTGTAAAGGAACAAGTGCTGAATGGGACTATACAAGAGTAGGCAGCTTCTGAAGTGTTTGTTAAGTGAAAACTGAATAGAAAAAGCTTAGTGCAACAGATGACACTGGAGAACTACCAAAACTTCCTTACTTGGGCTTTAACAATGTCTTCAAAGAACTATCTTTCAAAAAACTCAAATAAACAAAAATATACTCTCTTCTATCTCACCTAGAGGCATGAAAGATTCAAGGGAAGTGTTAACAGGGTGAAAAAGTTTTTTCATTAAGATAAATGTGTCAGGAAAATGGGAAGAGTTAAAACCCAGGTAAGAGAAAAAAGATGACCCTGAAGTGTAAACAGGCCTACACAACATCGAATTATGTGAACAAAGAAGTCACTCCACAGCCACAACAAAACTCTGGATAATTTCAAGGCATGTAAAATAAGAGATATACATAACTGAAAGAGTTATGAATATGTTTGTATAGAATCAAAAGTTCCATTACTATTTGTAATTTACTTTCGCTACAGGTGAAAAATCATTTCCTTATATATTCTTGTTCTTTCAAGAACTATCATCATCCCCTTCCTTCTTTTCTATAGAGCAAAACTTTCAATAGAAGAAGGTCACATTATAGTATTAATACACTATGTATTTTCATTTTTATACTGATTTGATACACATACACCAACATATATGTAATACAGTATACTGAACTGCTAACTCTATTTTGTATTGCGAGTTACACTCCCTTTGATCTCTGTTAAAGGAAAATGGAATGTTCCAGAAAACTGTTCTTGCTCGCAAGACATGGATTACCAGAGAAACGCTAAGTGCTAGTTTTGGTGTTCAATGGTATTTATTGCCTGTTATCTACCAGTCTGACACCATGCAATACAAAAGGACAAAGGTGGCTTCTCAGACCAGAGAGAAGCTGCAAAAGGAGAGCCTGAAATTAAAAGGTGGTGTTTTATCTGAAAAGTAATGTAACCTGGCCATACGCAAGTAGAAGTGAAAAGAGACAAACATGAGGTTGGACTCGACTGTGCTGAAAAGCCATTCATCCACCAAAGCAAAACCAGAAAAGGACAAATACAAACACATTATAAATAGAAAGGTTACATGCAGTAGGTATTTACGAAAGCACGTAATGTATATATTTAACAAAAGTCTTTTCCAAAGTAAGAATTCCAGAAATTTAAATAAGTTGCAAGTATAAAAGAAGCAAACACTCATACAGGCACAAACTGATTAGGACTTAACAATGAGTTAACAAGTCCTCATTAATGAATTTGGAAACTAGGCCCTTCAGTACTCTACGGGAGTATCTGAAGCATGATAAAACTCTGGAAAACAGATTTGTTCATACAGAAAAAAACAAACAAGCATCCAAACAAGCATCACAGAGTGAATGCATAGTCTTGATGCAATTAAAAGAAACTAAAAAACCCTTTACCACCTAACACCATTGTAAATACCACCAGTGTTTTTAATGCAAAAGTCTGGGAACCTCTGTGTTTTCTATCTGTCTGACTTAAATACTTTAAGAACTTAGTATTTTCTCAGCTTGTCTGAATGCACACAAACTCCATACACTTATACTGTATGTCTAGATTAGAGAGCTAATTTAAAGGGTTTAGAGATAGCTATAGAGGTAAAGCAGCTATTTCTTAGGAACAGGCATTTAGGAAGTTAAATACAAACAGAAGTATTTTACTCTTGCAAGCAACCTTATCCTCTCAAACAAAAGGTAGTAATAGCCAAGACCAACCAGAAGAGAGAAAGAGAAAACAAGGAAAAATTTCAAAGCCCCCAACAGATGACAAAACAATTTCTAATATAAAATGGAACTATAGTATCTTTAAAAACATCATCACATGCTGTGGTCCCCTCTTGTTTAGGTGTCCAAGGGTATAAGACTATTGGTTCTATAGTTAACCTCTTCTTGAGACTGATGAATAACTATGTCAGAAGGGAGGTTACAGTTTTTAAAACCAAAATAGCACATGGTAGTCTTGAAATCACCTGCACGCTACATAGAACCTGCTGGCTCTCCCTGTGATCGGTGAGCTTACTTCTTCAAACGAGGAGATGGAAAAAACTTTTTCTAGCACAGATTTAAAACTACCCTGGTCATAATTCAGAAGCAAAATGCTTCTGGGAAGAAAAAAAATCAGCTGTAAAGCCTTTCTCTTTCAGAAATCAGGTTCCACTGTGAGGGAAACAACTGATGCCCCAAGCATTAATGGACTTTGTCTCATTCCTACAGCATGATGAGCCAGCATGTAACTTGCTTCATCGGTTGCTAGGGAGCCATGAGCTCATTACACAGCATCATCCACACCCTCCACAAGGATGCTGGCACATGCTTCCCATCTGGGGATACTACTGATTGAAGCAACGGCACCGGAGTGCCTGCCAGTCTTCAGTCTCCCAGGGTTGAGTATGCCAATACAGCAGGTGCTAACTTTAGCTCTACCTTCGAGGTTTTAAGCTCAAGTCTTTGTGAGCCTGGCCAATGCAATGCAACACACAAAGAGATTAGAACACTCTTCCACAGCCATTGGCATGGATACCCCTTATTTTTAAAGAGAAATCTAGACAAAGATATTCTTCCTGAAATTTTGGCAAACACATGGCTTTTCTGACTACGGCAATGAGTGCACTATTCTAAAATCTATGTTAGAGAAGCATTCAGTAAAAATGGAAAAAGGCTGGGGAGTTAAAAAAAAAAAATCTTTTTTTTTGCAGTCATTAAGGGAGCAAAAGATTTGGAGACATTTACAGAAGACATACAGAAACCTAGTGATCTCCAAGCTGTATACATTAAAACCCTGGAATAGATGTTAAGCTGTGAACAATCTGGGTCACTTCAAAGTCTAAACATGCAACCTTAATGCATTTTTTCAGTTGTTTGTCTCATTAGCACTTCACAGATCTATTCACAATAAAAGGGGGGGGAAAGGGGGAGAAGAATCTGTCAAGAAATAAAAAAGCCACCCCGCTTCCATATGCCAGGAAATTTATTACCTAACAATCTATCTGCATTACACAGAGATGGTATCTAATGATTTTCATGTACCTGTCATACGTCAAACACCATCCAAGAATTCTTAGCGCTGGTGAATTAACAAGCACATAAGGGAATACAGCTGTAGTGATGCATACATACCTATACATTCAAATCCTTAGGCAATCTCAAAATGCCTTTTTTCTTTATTAACAATTGCATAAAGAAACACAAAAAGGAATGAGAAGGAAGGCAAATTGGGGTGCTCCACTCATTAAATGCACGGAACAACAGTTCTGTTTGAAGGAGATAGGCAAATGCAAAAAATGTCATCTTTTTCTCTTACGTGAAGCTAAGATTAAACTCTTCAGAATTTAAGATGACCAAGACACTAAAATGCTCACTGCTAATATATTAAATACTCACTGACATTCATGTATCAGTTAAATGCATCTTAAGATAAACAATTTGAAACACCAGTATGTACCCTAAGTCCTTACCTGTCTCAACAATTTTTCAACAGCTGACATTACCATGAGCCCCCTCCACACAACGGGGGCGGTCTCTTCTACCAAGAAGCCCATAGACATGCTGAAACAACAAACAAAAACTTAAGCTTTCCAGCACAACACCACCAAGTACATCTGTAAGGAAGTTTGATTTAAATTAAAATATATGCTCACCATGCGATTCCATAGTTCTTAAGGGGTCTCATTAGATTTTCTAAAACAAAAGCAAACAAGGTTTTTTGGGGGTGGGAGTCGCTTTTGGGTTTTGTTTTTATTTTTGTTAAAGAAATAACGTTTTACCTTTTTTTTTTTTTTCTTCTTCCTTTTAAGAGAAGTTTTCCCTCTTGGTTAAAAGCATTCATCTGTTTTCCCCCCTCATCCCTTCAAAATATGTATATGTTTATCTATTCTATCCAAGAACCTGGCCCCACGTTTTCTCTGTTTTTACTGACACCACTCATCTTTTGCCAGAATAACAATGCATTTGCCCATAATATATTATCTAGGCAATATAATATGTCGAAACCAACCTCATCTATTTGTATGAAATCTCCATTCTATGATGCACAAATCCCCTATTAGGCAGCCTTCTACTTCTGCAACACTTCACTAAATGCTGAGTCATTTATATCAGAACAATATTAAAGTCCTATAACATGATGGGATTTAAATTTCTTTTTAAGCTACTGTTCACTCATCTCATGAATCAGAGGATCTTCCCATTAAGACACCCGTGTTTTGGGGAATTCTTGTATTCAGTCTGCTTGGAACCCCAGAGTAGTGGTACCAAAGAAAGCCACCCCTAAACTGCATGCTGTCAGCAGCTCTGGGTAAGAAGTCCTGGATGTCTTCAGACTGGCACAAGTCTGCACAACTTCTTAATCCTCTGTAGGAACAAAAGATGCTTATTTGAACATTACAGGGGCAATGCTCTTGTCATAGTCCATATTCCTATGCCTTCCAGTGTCAAGAAAACAAAAGGGGATGAAATACTGTAATTGTTCTGCTGGCAAAAGGGCAGGCAAGCAGAAAGTAAACAAACAACAAGAATGCATTCAAAACAAAACCTCTCAAAAGCCAAGAATTCCGGATGGAGTCTCTGCCATCCAAATCCATACCTTACCTCAAAATGGCACGCACACACACACAAAAGAACAAGAGGAATTTTACTTGGTCTAGTTGGTTTATTTTAAGAGCATGCACAGGCAAGAATCAGCATAAAATTGAGAGAATACTTTAAGCAATAAAAAATACATTATAATACATATTTTGACAGAAACCTTTGATGGACCCAAAGTAAAATATATATGGATAGTAAAATAAAAACAATGTTAATAGAATGCAGGGCATTCAAAGCTGAACTACAAATTCAAACAAAGTAACACCCAAGAGCACGCAAATTAAAGAGCTGAACTCTACAGATGAAAGCTTTCAAGTAATCAAGTAAGTGGACATTCAAGCCGTGCAATTTCGTAGAAATGTGGATGAAAATAAATGGAATGTTTTGGTTTACAAATCAAAACCAGTAAAATACAAAGTTTGACAAATTACTTGTATGACTACTGCACTCAGGAATGAATATGGAACTGCCACTGGAAAAACGGATGGGCTTGGGCTGTTGTACTGCACCAGTGTTAACACTTTTCTCTACTTGCTCAGCTCTTCCCAGTGTTTAGTCAGGGCTTATTCCGGTGTCATTATACTGTCTAACCTCATTTCTAGGAATCAGTGTCTTACTTCTCCCCCCTGCAGTAAGATAGTTTTGCTATGAAGAGGCTGATGACATTTGAACTTCAGCCTAGAGCCATCTCTAGCACTGCTTTGGTGTCACTGCAAACAGGTGTATGTACTGCCACAAGTTACGATACTAAGATTTGAGAAAAATGACCACATAATTACTTATAAGAAGGTTTTGAAAACAGAGGTAAAAAAGGTCCTGCAACAACATATATAACTGCAGATTCAAGGACTGCTTCATTCTTGCAGTGAAATCGGAAAGATATAAGAACAAACAGGGGAGGCCAATGCTTGACCATTCAGCACATGAGGACCAGGAACTGGAGGGGAAGAAGTATGGAAAAGATGCATTCATTCTGAGAAAGCTCACCAACATAGTAACTTCTCAGTTCAACCCTGTCCTCTACAGTGCTCTACAGTACATCAGTCAAATATCTAGATACTAACATCTCAACAGCTACTGCCTGCATGGACGGTTTCCTCTGTAGAGAGCCTAGGCAGACATACTAATCTCACAGGACACACCTTCAGAGATCACCCTCTCTTTCACCTCAATGGGTAAAATACAAAACTTGCTACAAGTACACAAACACTGACCTACAGAGTAGCCAAAGGGGCCTCTATTGTTGAAACACGTGCACTGTTTATTTCTCAACAAGAGTCTAATTTTATGAAAACTGGATCTTACTTTCTTTGGTTTACAACAAGGACTATAAACTGCTCTAAGCAGCAAGATTTAATCAAATTTACACAATGCACAAGAACAATTCACAACCTGCTGTATATTATGGCTATAATATTCCACACAGTTTCAAAGTAATACAAAATACTGCAGAGCACCCCACTGTTTGCCTACTGCTAGAAAGCATTCTTAAGACTATCTCAAATCTAAAGTGCTTCAGTGAGCTCTGGTAATCACCTTTGTCTCATCAAAAGCAACAGGCATTCCTCCTCCTTCACCCTGGGTCTCATGAAGATTTTCTAAAACGTAACAAGTAAAGAAGATTTAGCTTAACAAGATCTCAGTAACATCTCTAATTCCTATCGCTTTCAGAGTAAACACTTCCTTCTCTGTTATTAGATGCCTGCCATAAACCTCCAAAAATCCAACATACACCAAAACACATTTCTTAAAATCACAACACGTAGCAGTACTACGCCACCTACGCCAAGAGATCAACAAAATATTCTTGTTTACAACCTTTCAGTAAGCTTGATGGCCCTAAATAAAAGGGTGCCACGATTCCTCTAAACATACAAAATCAGATCAATAAGATCAACAGAGCACCAATGAAATATCAGTAAAATGCCTTTTTCTGGTAGAATACAAGTAGGACACCAGAGAAGGCAGGCATGTGCAAATTCACGACAGCATTACAGCAGATTGCCAATTAAGAGTTCTAGGACTGGTCCGCAGGCTGGACGGTTATGTGAGGAATAATGATGCTAAAGTCATTAGGATGGATATGCATTTTTATTTTCTTTTTGGGGGGTTTGCTATTTTCGGGTGGGGTTTTTTTTGGTAGATTGGGTTTAACTTTTTTTTACTAGGAAAAAATAAAGCCTTACAGACTATGCTGACAAGGTAACTGACTTACTCCATTCTTTTTCTCTAGAACACCCAAAACAGCCATTCAATGGTGACCATAGGTTAGTGCAGCACAGAAAGTATGTACAAAGCTCTATGTATATGGTTTTCGCTGTGATAAGAGTTCAGTTTCTTCATAGTAGCTTACATGGTGCTGTGCTTTGGATTTACGATGAAAAGAGTGATGATAACACATCATCACTGAGATATGTTAGTTATTGCTGAGCAGAGCTTACGCAGAGTCAGGACCTTTTCTGCTCCTCACACTGCGTCACCAGCAGTAGGCTGAGGGTGCACAAGGAGTTGGGAGGGGACGCAGCAGGGACAGCTGACCCCAACCGACCAAAGGGATATCCCATACCATATGGTGTCATGCTCAGCATATAAAGCTGAGGGAAGTAGAAGGAAAGGGGGGATGTTCAGAGTGATGACGTCTGTCTGCCCAAGTAACAGTTGTGCATGATGGAGACTTGCTTCCCTGGAGATGGCTGAACACCTGCCTGCCGATGGGGAGCAAGGAATTAATTCCTTGTTTTATTTTGCTTTGCTTGCATGTGCAGCTTTTGCATTACCTGTTAAACTGTCACTATCTCAACCCTCAAGTTCTTGCACTTTTACCTTTCCAACCCTCCCCCCATCCTGCTGGGAGGGAGTGAGCGACCGGCTGCATAGTGCTCAGTTGTGCACCAGGGTTTAAGCCACAAGGAGACATTTCAATTCTTGGCTTAGTTTTCGGAGGAGGTTTACTGACTGATACATTAGAGCAAGCAAAGTCTCACATGTAGTCTTAACTCATCAGGTAAGTAAAGATCATTACTGCAGAAAATTGTGATGTTAATACTAAACCTTTTTAGGAGGCATCATGCTGTTTAATAAAAGCAAAAGATAACTGATAATTATTAAATGAGTATAGTGGATCATGCAACACCCTAGCAAATCCATTTTGAGCTCAATGACTGAGTGAGCACTAATGCAGAGGAGTTGCTCAGAGTTTTCAAGTGTCTGAAAAAAGGGGTAGGTTGGGGATTTTTACCATTTCAAAGGTAAAAAATATATCCAAACAGGAGATAAGAACACTAGAAGCTCAGGTTTTCTTCCCTGTTAAACGTTTCCTATTATACTCATATATTTTTGGAACTTACCACTATAACAGAGTATCATAGACTTCTTAGAATGGTAACAAATTATCTTACTATTTGTCTTCAATAAATCTCAATAGTCACCTGCCTGTCCTAACTGGATTTTGGTCATTGAGCAGGAAAGTGGTGCTTTTAAGTTGTTCTGTAACAGGACATCAATAGCTAAATCTATAAAAAAGTAGAACAATTGTGTGATTTTCCAGTTAAAGGTATCCTACTGACCTTTGCCTGCAGATTTCCAAATGTTTCCAAACACACTACCAATGCAGAAGTGTTCGCCAGTGCAGACACCCCTGCAAGCTCCGGGCTATGCTCAGAATGAGCCTGTTTCCTGATCTTTAAGTTTTATGCAAGCCCTGTTTCTGTAACACCCATGCACCCAAAATGAACATTTTTATCTAACAACATCTTTGAGATGCAGAATTATTATCTCATGTAATGGATGAGGGAATCAAGACCTGGGCTGTGAAACTTGCTCTAGGTTATTCAAGAATACTGTGGATTTGGAGACCTGTTCTCCCAAGGTCTGATGCTCTAACTGAGCCATGGCTCCCCTTAGAGCATCTCCAATGCTGGAAAGCATATAATGCACAACTGATAAACATCTAGATCTAGACACTTAAGTGCCCTGCTGAAGTTATGTATTCTCCCTTGAAACTCCCAAATATATGTGAAAGAATTAAAATTTTAAAAAGCAAACTGAGGCACAACCAGTTCGCAACAGAAAAAGCTGTTGAAAGTTACACTACA